ACTGATCACATATAACACTCGACATGGGGAAAAAGGTACTTTGTGGCTACGGTTTCGACGTCGATGCCGTCAGCGCCTGGATGATGCCTCGCGAGGGAGGTTGCTGCACGGATAGGACCAACATGTCTCGTGGTGTGTTTGGTGCTACGGTCGGCCTTGATCGTGTCTTGAAGCTCTTTGAAAAGTACAATATCAAGGCGACCTTTTTCACGCCCTGCCATACTCTCGAATCCTTTCCCGAGCAACTGGCAAAAGTCCGCGATGCTGGGCATGAAATGTAAGGATTTCCCAAGACACCTTTTCGTTTTACGTCTCCAATAGAGTCCTGACACGAAAGAACAAAGTGGCATGCATGGTTACACCCATGAGTTTGTCTCGGATGTCTCTGAGGAACAAGAACGCGACATTCTGGCTAAATGCATCGATGTCATGACCAAGTTCACGGGCAAGAAACCCCGAGGATGGACGGCGCCAGCCTGGACGCCGTCAGCCAAGACGGTCGAGATCCTCGAGGAGGCCGGGATCCTCTACGACCATTCGCACATGCACCACGACTGTCAACCGTACTGGCTCCCGCACAAGAACAGCGTGACCGAGATCAACCTCAAGATGAAGGCCGAGCATTGGATGAAGCCCATGACGGCGCTGCAGCCGTCCAAGATCATCGAGATCCCCGCCAACTGGCATCTGGACGACTGGCCGCCCCTCAACGTGGGCCAGATTGTCGGGCAGGGCTTTGTTGATCCGGACGTCGTGCTGAAGCTGTGGAAGCGACAGTTTGACTTTTACTATCGCGAATACGACTCGTTCATCTTCCCCATCTCCTGTCATCCTCAAGTGACGGGCAAAGCACAGGTGATCCTGATGCAGGAGGAGCTGATTGAGTATATCAACAGCCACGAGGGCGTGGAGTGGGTGACATTTGAGGAAATGGCAAGACAGTTCAGGGATGGCGAGCTGCCGGGGGTCACGGTGAATGGAGGCGTCGACTTGTGAAGCTGGAATTTGGGCGATTAATGCGTCGTCTGTCTACATACGTATCTACTTGCTCATAAGATTCTCTCTTCGCATGTACATAACAGAGCCTTGAGACCCTCAGTAAAGGGGTATGTGGCAAGGGAGTGTCACATGTTGGTTCAGAGACTCAAACTTGGCCTCATCTCCATTCATTTCCTTCTTCATCCACGCCCACGACATCAGCTGCAATTATGCATCCCAACACTCAAGATACTTTCCTCGAACTCCCGCGTCACACGTGCCCTTATCACCAGGGCTAGGGTTGATAGCATGTCAAAGCCTCGAAACACCCGCACGCCGAGCCGGCGACTCCCCGGTAGGAGAATCGACAATCTCAACCACGAACTCGGGTCTCTCTCTCCCCTACCGTGATACCTCGTGCGACGAGATGAAGCCTCCTGTTATCTCACAAGGCTCCTTCCAGCCGCTTTCCGCCAATCTAGTGCAACGGGCACAGATTTCGAGCCCAGATACGAGTAAAATGCAGATGAAGTGCAGAATACGAGATGGGTGCTCAAACAAGCAAGCGAGAAGATAGTCGTCTATCCCGAGGGCCAACACCACTATTCTCCTCATTCCTTCCTACTGGTCCGACAAATTAAGCTAATCAAGCCCATTTAAGCTAAACCTGCAGGGCTTGGTTTCCCGACAGGCTCGGCTTCCCCCATACCAAGGAGTGGAACCCGGACAAAGAAACGCGGCTGGGGGTTGGAGGTGCTTTCACCGCGTGTCCCTTTCTCATATGCAGGATTTCCCTTTCAAGGATTCCATTGATAATCGCCCGCTCATTCGCAGAGAGCAAACCGATCAGGAAGGAGAGATAAGACTGGCCCTTTCCGGGCTCCCGATCAGACAGAAAACAAAAACCACCTTGGCGAAATGGCCGCTTGTGGCAAGAGAGGCTCCCTGGCTCCTTGTTCCCTTTGGTCGATTCGATAGATTAGGTATACATCTGAGTGGACGACCATGGCAGGCGAATGTGAAATTGCCAGAGAAAATCGCCTCCCGGATCACGGCTCGTGGGTTCTATATGCTTAACGCATAACGTCTCTACCTCGACCGTCCTATCCCAGGCTCAACCTGGTTTCCTGGCCAATCTCTATGCTTTCCTGCTAGACCTAGTCGGGGGTTCACGCCACGCAGGGACACTAGAATATCTGTACCTGGCTTATGGGGTCCGCCTCGGACGTTAAAGGAACCCCAAGTTGGTGGACGAAGGATCAACGTGAGCCATGTAGAGTGACTTGAACATAAAGCAGGGACTTCGCTGCACGATCGTCGTCGTTTGTTGGTCTTTCTTCCTCCATCTTCACTCAGTTACAAACCTCCCGACATCACAATCTCGCCACTTCTCTATAAACACCATGGCCTACGGTCTGGGTATTCCCAGGCTCAGGCTTAACAGCCCATACTGGTGAGTCCCCCCTGGTACTGTATCACATATTCAATGCTTGGTTCTGACGGACACGCAGGCAAAACTTCATCGGTGGCATCCTCATCGGCCTGACCGGAGGGCTTTATGCCGCTCTCAACCTCCTGGGCGCCGGAGGTGGTAAACCCAACTCGTTCGAGGTCGTCCAAATCGCCAATGCTACTCTGTGCGCCGTGTATGCCGTCTCAGCCTGGTTCGGGGGGACTATTCTGAATACGATCGGCCCTGCCTTGACTGCCTTTGTACGTTACCCGTGATGGCTCGGTCGTCGAAAGAAGGATATACTAATCGAACCTGTATAGTTTGGTGTTATCGGATACATTCTCTACGTCGGGAGTCTGTGGTACTTTGACCAGCACGGCAAAGAGACGTTTCCTATTATTGCCGCTGTCTGCGTAAGTCTGCCTCTTACACACCAGTGTTTGCTCTATGGACACAATTGCTCGGCGCACCGTCTTGACCGGATTTAAGCTAACAGGTATTCGCAGATTGGTGTAAGAAAAAAAAGCCAGGTATTGGCGACTATGAATCTTGCTAAGCGTTGCTCCAGATCTCTGCGGGTTTGATCTACGTGACTTCCGGATACCTGTCCATGTCGTATTCCGAGGAGAACGAACGTGGAAAGTTCGTGGCGATATCTATCAACCTCCAGGCCCTCGGCGCTGCAATCGGCGGGCTGATCCCTCTCATCATCAATCACAACAAGGTACTCACGACCGTGTTCGACCTTCATTTTCACTCACGATACTGACACGAGACTAGGCGACCAGTGACGGTGTCCCCCCAGCGGTCTACATCGTATTCATCGTCATGGACTTTGTCGGCTGCGCGCTGGCGTTTCTGTTGCGGCCTCCGGAGAAGGTGGTGCGAGACGACGGGACCAACATTGCCGTGGTCAAAGCCCGGCCCTTCTGGGACGAATTCAAGGGGAATCTCGAAGCTTTCAAGGATTGGCGAATGCTCGTCATGGTACGTTGCGCGCGAGATACTCTGTGAATGACGACTGACCTGGTGCAGATCCCTGCGTTTGCCGTCAGCGAATGCTTCCTCGTCTACGGCGGCAGTGCCAATGCCTTCCGCAACAGTCTCCGCGCCCGCAGTCTGCTGGGATTCTGCTCTGTGACGCTGCAGATCATCTGCGGTTGGCTGTTGACGTTGCTTCTTGACAACGAAAAGCGTAAGTGGACCTCAATCCATTCACCATCAGCCTTGTACCAGAAAACACCTCCTCTGCGCTTCTTCTTCTATTATATGGTTGACTACTAACGGACCTGAATCTCAAGTGCGTCGACGAACCCGAGCCCAAATCGGCCTTGCCATTACTGGCGTCCCCGTGATTGGCGCCTACATCTGGGAGATGGTGCGGACGCGCAACTACGACAGGAACAACCCGCCGTCGCCTCCCTTGGACTGGAACGACCCCGACTTTGGGGCCATCTTTGTGCTGTTCATGCTGAACTGGGTGTCGTGCTCGCTGTTCCAATACATGATCCTCTACTTTTTGGGCTGTTTCACCAACAATCCCCGCGCGGCTGCCAACAATGCCGTGAGTGTCTCCCCCCCTCCCTATCTATAAGGTATCAAAAATCCCCCCCAGGACTAACGTTGCCATGACTTAGGGTGTCTTCCGAGGATTCATGGCCGCCGGAGAAGCCATCGACTTTGGTGTCGACAGCATGGGCGTGCCGTTCTTGAAAGAATCCGGTGCTCTATTTGCGTTCTACACTGCCGGGGTCATTGCGATGGGATACCTGGCGCTCTACCACATCGACGAGACGAAGTACTTCACCGAGGACGAGGTGACGATCCCCAAGCACGTCCAAGAGGAGCACGACCACACCATTGTGATAGATGGCGTGTCCAAGGGCACTTCACAGCCGGACGAGGAGGCCACTGCCGGCGCCACCACGGGCAAGGAGGCCATTGGCGTGGCTGAGGAGGTCAAGGCGTGATTACAAGGGGAGGAGGAGAGCTGTGGAGCTGGAGCTGCTGGAGGAGGTGGTGGTCCGTCATGGCAATAGACTCATACATACACATACACATAGATACATTTTGTATATGCATGTCATGCATGCCATGCATGCACTAGTATGGCACGGGACAAGGGACGGATCAGACTCTCTTGTGGGCAAGAGGGTCAAGCCAGGGTCGAGGGTGGATCTGTGTGAGCTTGTTTGGTGGGTGGGCCAGATTACAGGTAGTTAGTTACTTCGTTCGACCAGTCAGTCTTTTCTTGGTATTTGTACTTAAGAAGTATCTAATCTAGGTGTGTTGGCCTGGCCCGTGCGTTCTGGACCGTCCGTCCGTTCTGTGGCGCCCCTTTTTGTCTTGGTAGCTCGCAGCCTCGCAGCCTCGCTTGTCCTGTCGTGTCTGTCCAGCCGGCTTGGTTGTTGTTCGAGCAGACCGACTCACAAGGGGTGGTGTCCGAGTCTCGCCTGTGCTTCTACCAGCCTCCTCTCTGGTCAGGTGGCCCAATAACCCAGTACCTCAGCAGGGGGAGAAGCGCGGGAAGAGACGAGTGAGTGCGTTTGATAGGATGTTGTCCCTTCGTCTATCTCTTCTCCTCTTCCTCTGCCTCCACCTTGATCTTGATCTTTACAGCCACGTCGTCCATGTCCATGTCCGTGTTCGTGTCCTCTTCTTTTACCAATACCTGCTTCTGTTTCTCCTCGTCGTCGCCATCCTCCCTCTTGACCTCGATCTTGACCTCTTCCTTCTTGATCTCCTTCCCTTCTTCCTGCTTAATCTCTCGCTTAAGCCCAACCACATCGCCGACGTCACTCCCGGCATGGTTGTCCAGAGACCAGGTATCCGGCTCTGCACCTGGACCTAGCCCGTTCTCGCGAATCCGGTTGCGGCTGCGATTGTGATGGCGAATACGGACACTCGAGGCCCAGAACATATCCCCAAAGTTGCCTGTCAATAGAAGAGCACATCATTTAGTCAAGGTGCAGATATGAAAGACACCAGAACAGCAACACGACGGGATAGACAGTGGCACTTTTCTGAGTCGCCAGCTGCTGGATGCTGGATGCTGGAGTGTCTTGAAATACATACCGTTCTCGGCGATCATGGCCATGTAGCCCGCTCTTTGTCTTCGGTTTGGGACCCAGGGATTGAAACCCATCTCGATGGCCGGACTGGGGGGACAAAGGGGCAAAAGGACAAGGGATAAAGGTCGCAAGGAAAAGGTACAAGGTTTGCTTGTTACGGCATCGTTTTGGGGCGAGAGAATGGGCCCTGGCGTTCTCACTGCTGTCCGTTATGTATGTGCCACGTAAATCCGCACAGGTCTTCCTGAGAGTAACTTGTGTGTATTTGTATGGTTGTTGTAGAGAATGGATAACCAAGACGCGAGATTCATTCACTACAGACTAGACTAGACAATACCAGCACCAGATCAAACCCAGGACAATAGACCGCCGGGCCAGGACGAGGGCGAGGGCGCGGGCGAGGGCGCGGGCGCGGTCTCTGTTCTCTTGTTCAGACTGTCGTCTCCCGACGAATACTTCTTACAGAAATCACAATGCTGGACAGGACGGGAGCGGGACATGTGAACGGGCGTGGATGCTCTGGTAGGACAACACAACAGAACTGCAGGACCAGCGACAGATATATGTACATGTCGCAGGATATACGGGGCCTAGGAAGTAAGTAGCCCTGCTCAGTAGCGACGAGGACGAGCGATATACATACATACATCTACACCTAAATCTACCGTAGAGCTCCACTGCGTGAATGCACCTCTATTCGCGCTGGTATGTACGTTGTCTCCATCCTACTTCGAAGTACTTACTAGATATCCGTAGAGGATTCGTCGTATACAGCGGAAAGAGCCGGCCTGTTTGCCTGTTGAGACACTGCCAAGCGGGACCAGGTATGAGAGACGGGTGAACCGAGAGTCAGTCCGAGAGACAACAAGAACCAACGACAACGACAAAGAACATGAACAAGGAAGGCCCACCACCTGCATCCAAGGGTAGAGGCAAAAATCACGAACAGAGAATGACCATCCGGAACCAAAGGTAAAAGGAACAGGGAGGGCGTGTCTACTGTGCACCTACCGTGCACGACAAACGACAAACGATCCAAACAGTCCAAACAGTCCAAACGTCAAGAAAAGGCATTATATAAAGCCGTGGCTTTCTCTCCAAGTTCCAATTCATCGTGCAGTCAGTCTCCACTGGCTGCAACGTGCAGTTAGGGCCGAGGAGGAACTCTTGGTCTAGACCGATGGCGTTGGGGGGCGGCAGAGAGACAAATTTTTCTAACGATACTGGTGGTCATCTAGATTACAATCGGCATAATCAAAACCATCTCCACTCGCAAAGGTGGTCAGGAGCCCGCTGAGAAAGTCGTCGGAGCTCTCGTCCATGCCCGGGTCGCCGCCGAGTAGGAGGGTCTCGTCGAAGAGGTTCAACGCGGTGGGAGGCTCGACGGCATTGGGCAGGAGCTCCGTGGGTCCAACGTCGCCACCGGCATCCGTCATGTTCCGGTCGTCGCTGTCGACGGCCACGACCTTGTTGGCCGCGTCGATGAGGCGGCGGAGGCGCTGGAGCGTGCGGCGCGCCAGGGCAAATCCCTCGGAGATGTCGGTGAGGATGGCGAGGGCGATCTTGAACGACTCGGTCGCGGCGGCGCGGATGTGGACCGCGATGTTCTTGTTGATGATCAGGCAGATCAGCGGGACGATGGCCACGGTCAGATACACCACCGACGAGTACCGCTCGACGCCGCGGCGCCAGGGCGATTTGTGGTAGCCGTGGATGGCTTGGACGGAGCTGGCGGCCAGGGACAGCGACGTCTCGGCGACCTTCTGACTGTATTGGAGACTGATCAACTCTTCTTGCCGTATGAGGATCCGCAAGTGATTGATGAACTAGGTAGATGAGCGTCAGATGGATTCAGGCTAACTAGAACGGGGGTGTGGGGATATTCCTTACCAGATGGAGGACAATTCGCTGGCGCAAAAGGTACAGAGGATGGCGGTCCGTGTCCCAAGACGCCAGCACGTCGGGATTCCACTGCAGCCCGACCGGCAAGTTGGCGCTCAACGAGACAATCCGGGCGTCGGTGGTCGCAATAAAGTCCTGACTGACGGGTCGCGGCGCCTTTTTGGAAAACATATTGTCCCAGATCTCGGAAGAGAGCTTCCCCCACTCGATCATGTTGCGGAGGTACGGGATGGGCGAGCACTCGGGGTTCTCTGCCGGTGCTGGGCAGCTGGGGCTGAATTCGCGGTCGTCCAGACATCGTGGGAGGTCGACGACGGCGTCGACATCCTTGATCAGGTACGGCAACCCACTCATTAACGAGACGCTTCGGTCGAGATAGAACAGAGACCAGAAGATCCGCCGGCGCATGGTGACGTCGAAGGTGGTGCGGTTGTGCCACGTGTTCTGGTCATGCAGGTTGATCTGATAGCACAGTCGCACGGCGGTGCCGATGGTGTCGTACGCCGCATTCAGCTTCTCGGCGTGTTGCAGGTACGTACACTTGATCAGCAGGATCTGGATGGTCGCCAGGTTTCCGCGTCCCAGCCAAGTGACGTGTTGTAGGAGATGGTCTGCTCGGAGGAACTCTTGCCAGCCTGGAGGTGTCTCTTCGGTTGAGGCGCAATGTTCGTGGAGAATCTTGACTTCGGCGACGATGAGGTTGACCAAGGCCACAAACTGGAGCGTATCCATATTATTGTGCCAGGTGGTGTCGCGATTGAGGTAAAACTCCATTTGCGCCAGAAACTGCGCTTCATTGAGGCATGGACCTGTCGAATACGATCATCAGTCAATCTCGTCTCTTTGGATACGACAGTGACATGGCTCACAATGTGGATTCTGGCTGGAGAAGAAGATCTTGCACACTTGCAGCATGAGCTCCAAGCCTTGAGGCTTTCGTCGTGGATCCCACCGTTGAATGTCCGCTTTACAACAATCTGGAAAGCTCCCCGTGTCAGAAAAGGGACACCGTGCGAGTGCTGTTGCCGTGGATCGAGGCGGTGTCTGTTGCGGCTCATCCCCGAGAATGCGGTTCAGGGCTGCGATGGCTTCCAAGGAGCTCGAGCCGCCTCGACAAGAATCTTCGGTAACGGACGTTGCGAGGCTGTCTGGGTATGGTGTGTCTTCTGATTCGGGTGGCAAGTCGACCCCAAACGAATGTTTGCTGGCGACGAGGTTGACTCTGTCTGGTTTGGGTGTCATATCCGACTCGGGGCTCTCCAACTCGGTGGCTCTTCGTTCGAGCATGGCAACCCGATCCATGATGGCAGCAATCTCGGCTCTTATGGTTTCAGGCGACTGGTCATCCTGTGTGCCTGTTTGGGTCGTAGCCATGGTGGCCGGTTGTCCATTGGCAGGGTCATCAACCACAACAGGCGAGCGGACAGTGGCGGCGACATTGGCAGCGGCAGCCGCATCAGGTCTGTTACGGCGAATAGCTCGTCGCTTCCTGGTATCAGAATAGACACATTCGACATTGGCCGCGTGGCAATGATGGCAAGGCTGTTCTCCACTACACTGATCAGGTCAGGTCAGGTGCACGTTGCACGTTGCCGTGCGATTTGATAGTAAATACCTTGACTTTGCGCCTAGAGCAGTCGAGACTATACCGCGATGAGAACGTGGCTTACAGAAAATACTTGGGCCCCTAAGAGACTCACCACGCACGCGAGACGTACTTTCGTCGTCGCGGGACTGTTGGATCCTGCCAATTGGTGGGTGACGGGATGCTCTGGAAGGACTCCATATCTTAGCCACATTAAGAGGACGAGATAGAGCGATAATGCAACTACTGCCCAAGGGTTTCAAGAAGCGACCTGCAAAAGAGAAGGGAGTAGGATTGAGGATGAGGGACGTCCTTGGGTTTCGGGAATGCTGGTTGAAGTCAGTCCCACAATCGCGGAGGCGGCGAATCGCAGCCTCGTCGACCTCGGAATCATCGACGGGATTCGGGATTGACGAGGCTGCCCGACAGCCTTGTGGACTTGTCCTTCAGCTCACCAGCTACCATCTCCCAGCTCCCACTGTTTCGGAAACAAAAGATCCCGCGGGACTGCCGAAGAAATCTTCTGTGTCGTGTACTGGTGTTGATTTTGTAAAAATGACTTCAATATCCGACAACAAGACTTGCAAAAAAAGGAGCCCAGACGATACCCATGCAATCCATCCCTGACTTTGATTCCTTACCTCCCGTCCCAGGCCAGCCTCAAGGTAACGCCTGGGGCCTATGGGGAGAAGACGACCAACTTGGAAGTATGTCAGTGTCGGTCTATATCCGTGTGCATTTCTCACTTCCTCACCCTTTTCCGCCCGCCTACTAGAGTCTAGATACTAAAACGTGAGGCGAACCCCAGCACTTAATCTACTCACGCCAGAGACCATCATCGCAGCCAAACACGAGATCCAGCTCGGAAAAACCGTGTCGCTCGACTTGGCCCTGGACCACTTCCCGCCTCTTGCCGGACGCCGACAACCCGAACACGAGGTGATATCTCTCAAACAGGGCGGGAGGTACGACAAGTACGGGTTCGACGACGCCCTCCGGTTCAACACCCAGGCGAGTTCTCAGTGGGATGGACTGCGGCACATCGCGCTGCAGGAGAGCGCGCTGTACTACAACGGCGTGAGCCACGACGACATTGCAGCTGGACGGCACGACAGGAATGGCATCCACAGTAAGTCCCCTTATTCTCGTTGCTATGCACAGAACGTTTGTCGCAATATCCTAGTGTCAACAGGCACCCCTCCTCGATATTGCGGCGTATAAAATGCTTACTGCCTTCTCACAGAATGGGTCGAGCGCGGTGGCATCGTCGGCCGTGCGGTCCTTCTAGATTATGCTCGTTGGCGCCAGGAGACCGGCCAGCCCTATGCACCACCCAACACGTCCTTCGCCGTGACGGTTGCCGAACTGGACGCCGTGGCCGCATACCAGAATGTGCAATTTCGGACCGGCGACATTCTGATCATCCGCTTTGGCTTCATCGAGTGGCACGACCAGGCCACCCCCGAGGAGCGAGCCGCCACCTTCTCCGCCGGCACGTATATCGGCCTGGAAAGGTCCATGGAGACGGTGCGGTGGCTTTGGAACCGCCATTTCGCCGCGCTGGCGGGGGACACGGTCGGGTTTGAGTGTTGTCCGAGCCTGTGGAAGAAAGTGCCCGGGACTCAAGGTGGCGTCAACCTGCACGAATGGATTCTCGCGCACTGGGGCTGTCCCCTGGGTGAGCTGTGGAACTTGGAGCAGCTCGCCGTCGTGTGTAACGGTGCGAAGAAATGGACCTTCTTTTTCACCAGTGCCCCGCTGTACGTGGTCGGAGGCGTGGCGTCGCCGCCTAACGCCATTGCAATACTGTGAATCGACCTCTTTAAAGAATCGGGTCTGCTGTATAGGAGAAAATGACCGCAACTAGTGTCTGTTCTTTGTCTAGGTCTTTGTCGATCCCTCGGCAGCGAGATTGTTGGCTTTTTCTACTCATGGTACTTACCAGGGGTTTAAGAGGGGGGGGGGGGGGCCTATATGATCAACATGTATATGCGACTACACGCTGGAAGAACAACAGCGCAAGATCTCGTTGTTGCCATCCAGCGTTTACACCCTTCCATCTGTTGTGCGTTACGCTCTTAGAATAATAGTAGGAACCAGATACCCTGCACCGAGGTCCTCAATGCTGTTCAGACTTTACAACATTGTTCGAAAGTTCAAATCTAATAATCCACGGGACCGCTCTGATTGGGACAGAAAGGCGATGAGTGTCACGCCGGGGCCGCTGCATGAAGACCTGTTTTTGACAATAAGCGCCCGCAATATTAGTTGGAAACTTGTAAAAAAATTGTGCGTTTTGCACTGTAGATTCAGTTCCGATGGAGACGTCAGTGCTATGAATCAGACTGCATCCATCTGATGAAACGTCCGCGCTTCCTCTAGTGAAGGGGTTCCTCAGGGGAGTGCTGAACAACCCCCCAAGACTCCGCTTCCGCTTCGTTAAAATAAGACCCGATTTAATAAGAAGCGCCATTGGTTATCTTGCCGGATTTCGCTATCTCGCATCGCGCGCACCAGCTTGGCGCACTTCCCACGCCCGGGATGTGTATCGCCAGGCACTCATAATCGCATCCGTGTGAATAAGATGACCTCTTTGCCGCCAAGCGAAACGAAGGTACAACAAGCTAGCGCATGACACTGCACCGACGGAGATCAGAACGGGCCATTCAAACAATTCAGGGCGGGAAAATATGAGTGTCGCCATGTAGGAGAGAAGTTCGAACATATTCTGCCACGCAGCCTCAACCGTCGAGAATGCCCCACGTGACTCAGCCTCAACAGCCTACATGGTCAGCATTTTAGTTGGAAAGCGCAGGAGAAACTCACCTCTTGAACGAGAAGCTGAGTGGACAGATCAAAGCCTCTCAACCCCAGACGGCTAACAATGGTCCCCACAACAAGAGCTGTGGCAGATAATGCGGACGGTTTCAGCAGAATGAATGCTATGGTACCCCCGATCAGGGGGAAGACCTGCAATGTGCTCAGCCACAAGCCCGCTCTGACAGGGCCGATCTTTGCGATGAGCCAAGGGGCGAACCATGTGGCAAGAACTTCGAAGCTGACACTAAGTGTCCGTGCAACGCCTATCACACCCGACTTGTAGCCAGAAGCGAGGAGAAAAGTGACCATCTGACCACCAAAGTTGAGCACGGTGAGATATAGCAAAGCACCAGCAGCAGAAGGGAGGAAAACCGTATGACGAAAATAGAGACCACAGTCAGCCACTGACTTGGTGCTCATGTACATGAGGCTGTTCCAGGCTCGCCGGAGGAACGGCTTGGGCTCGAGTGAATCTTCTGACCTTGCAGCTGTTTTGGGCTCCTGAAGCGCCGGGACCTCGTGATAGACCCGGGCGATGGCGAAATACTCGATGGGAACTGAGAGGAGATTCATCGCGAAATTGACAATAATTGCGACCCGAGTCGAAGCAGTATCCACGGAAGCGATAAAGAGAGGTCCAAGAAGCTTGCAAAGCAAGTCGATGCGGCGCATTTGTGCGTTGAGTCTGCGCAAGGCTGCCTGGTTGTTTCCTGCAACCACAACGCACTGCGGGATCTTGTCAGCGGAAAACCATTTCCAGCAGATCGACTAACCCAGTCTTTTTCCACAGAAACCAGATTCATGACGGAGCACAGCTTTTCCGCACATGCCAGGACAACGAGCGTTGCGAATATCGTTTTCTGGACTGCGCCTTGCAAAAGTGTCGGCATTGTGAGGATGTAGAACAAGAGGCAGGATACTGCGACGACGAGACGTTGGACAACTGTGATGCGTCAGCTAGTGGCGTCTCAGGTGTTGTAGCAGTCGCACCAATGGACACTCGGACAACAGTCAGGCGATCGCCGGTGTCGATATAGTGTCCCACACCAGGTGCCAAAATCATAATACATATACCTCTTGTCAAGGCATAGATAGACATTGGTCTCAGGGTTCCAGGGAATATGGTCGCAAGGTAAATGACAGACCCGAATTCGAATACACGGGAGTTCCATGTTGACAGAGAGTGCGAAATGTAGAGTCGAAGGGCTAGTCGCCCAGGGACACGATCGGCATCAATGAACTTCGCGAGGAGAGGAGCCGTCTCACCCCCAGAGTGACTTTCATCTTGCGCTGCCTGGACCATGTTGAGAGTGATGACGGAGGTGGAAGAGGAAGAGGAAGAGGAAGAGGAAGAGGAAGAGGAAGAGGAAGAGGAAGAGGCGTACCTAAAGAATCAACAACTATTCATATACCGTCGCGAAGAAGAATGCGTGCTGATTGGCGAGCCTGGGAGTAACGAGGCCCGCTGGTATCAATAACAGCGTAAAATTTAACCGTAAGCGGCAACGGTTGGTGTCAATACCGATTTCCCCAAATACCGGAACGCAGAAAGCTTGTTTTTATCCCTTTATTCAACTTTTTGAACTTCTATTGACAAAGCGTGGCGCTCGGATTTCACTTTCTCTTGTACTCCAATTCGCTCCAATGCAGCGCGCGAAATCTCGAAAGAAGAGCAGAGTTCTGCGTACACACACCGGATGCAAGCCTTGTCGGAGGCGAGGAAAAAAGGTACGAATGCTTCGAACCAGAATTTTGCTTCAAGGGCCTGACCTTGGGCAGTGTGACGAGGTGAAGCCGGTCTGTCAAGCATGTGCGAGATTGTTCCTCACGTGTAGCTATGGACTGGACTACACTTTTCGTAACGTCAGCGTGCCTCGGGGTACAAATGAAATCAGTCCGGCAGAGTCGGGTAATCTCTCGACCATTTCGACACTGGCCACCCAACCGAGGGAGGCTGCGCACACTCTTACAAGTGTACGAACGCAAAGCCCCAGCGCGCCAGAGATTAATCTCGCAGCGTCGACCCCAGTTAGTCTCAATCTCGAATTACAGGTCTGCTTGTATTTCAACGATCTGCTCGCGGCCAAATATCTCAAACACTTCGAGAATCATGTCAGAGACATCCTTCCGGCATCGTTCCTACGATTCGCAAATGTTTCTCTCAAGTCGCCGATCCTGACGTCTGCTCTCCTGTGTATCTCGGCCTCCAATCTCTCGATGCTTGATGCAAGTGTTCAGAGCCGGCACTTCTCCGAAGACAGGATGTCTCTCTTCAGTCCCGTGGCTAATCGTGATCACCACCGACGGGCAGGACAATATCACGATCTTACCCTCGAACACAGTGCGATCGGTGGTGATGTCCTTGAACTCTTGGTGGCTAGAGTTCTTCTTGCTTACTACCACCATGCATCGACAAACCATCTTGACTTTCGCGCTGCGGTCTGGAACTGCACCGATTTTGTTCTGCAACATGAAACTAGCATCCTAGCCATGCCAGGCGGTCTAGAAGCGCTACAGCTATGGTTTAGACTATGCACATCACACCGACCAGCAAAATTACCCTCTTTGCTGCTCGATGGGGAAGGGCCCAGTTGCTTTGGACCCAATCTCGACACTCAAGGTATTCCCGGTAGCCTACACCTCTCATGTGTCATTGGCATGAATGAGGATGATCTCATTTATGATATCTTGATCAGGACGCTGGAGCTGAGATCAAGGATGGTTGTATTCCACTGTATTGCGGATGTTTGTCAGGTCTCCCCAGAATCGACGGACCTGAGCACCCTAGTGCACGTGATGTTGACCGAATTGCTGGGGAGAGGATGCTCACCCGAAGAATATACTGAGGTTCGAGCCGGGTATGTGCGTGGACGCCACCTCCTGGCTTTGCTGGAAAGCCAGAGATCACGGTTGCGAGTCTGGGCTTCCCGACTCACCCCTCAGCAACAGCCGGAAGTCTCCGTGGCTCAGTATGTGAGGCATCAAGACGCAATGAACGCGATATATTATCACCTCTGCGAACTTATGATTGAGGAGTCGCACGCCTGCGTCACCAAGAGTGTCTCTCGACCTTTCATCGCCGGGGAAAGGCCTGCCATGGCCGTTATCGCGCAGAAGATCTGCCGCATTGTTGACATGATCGATTTGACAGTATCGAACGTTTCCGATGTGTACACCTACAGTCTCGCCGAGGTATTGCAGCAACTAGTTTCCTCATGGCAGTCTGACAGTCTATTTACTTATGTCCTTGACGTTATTTGGCCCCGTCTCGAAATGAATGGACGCGGTTTCGAGCATTCGCACTACCCCACACATCTAGCAAAGCGCACAATTGCCTATTGTGCTGAACAACATATCAAGCGCCGAAAAGTCAACTTCGCCATACCAGCGGTGACGGAGCAGCTCCCAAAATTGTCTCTGTTAAACATCGATCACACAATAGCATTGGTGGTTTGTGGGCATGATTTTGAGGGGAGGTCGTTCCTTCACAAAGCTTCACTATCATAGCCTCGAAGACCATCATTCTCTCAGACGGGAACCTCCAATTTCTGGATCGTTGGCCCCAAGTGATGATTCACCCACAAAGCTGCGCCCAGGAATGCCCAGGCTCGCCAAGCATTTACTGTATGACCCGCTCGGGCTATCCCCGAAAAGGTCAAATTTTACGCTGGGTATTATTATCAAATGACCAGGTTTGGAATACACCCTTGGCTAATAATTAAAAACCACGCTCCTTACAGCAACAAAGACAATGTCTCAGCTGCAAGATAGGTGGGACTCTGATCAAAATCTATGTGCACCATATGTATCCAGCGAAATCGGGTCAAATACGATAAATTATGTCTGTTCGCATTGTTACCAGCTGTGGAGCCTTGTTCCTTGGCTTCCTGCTAGTTCGACATGGGTCGCAATTTTCGGTATTGTTTTCGACGTGTCAAGTAATAAGGCCTTTGCCTCAGGAGGGCCATACCACGGTATGCAGCGCTCCATCGGTGTCTCCACCAGCAGTGCCACAGCTGACGGCGTATGTAGTCTACGCTGGCAAAGATCCATCAAGCGCCCGTGCACTATCAAGCCTCAGGCCTGAGGACTGTGTTTCAGATTTGACGGATCTTGAAGATGTGCATAAGACGATCCTCGGTGAATGGTATACTCGATTCAAGAAGATGTATCAGGTCGTCGGTCGCTTGGATTACGCTTGTCCGCCATTCTGAAAATGCTGTATCGATCAATGATGGTGGGAGAATGAAAGGGGGAGGGGCAAGATAACGTGATACACAAGACATTACATCTGAGCCTCACCGATATCGACCTGGACCAACTCCTGCCTGTTGATGGATGGCGACAGCCGTGCTCGGGGGCAGCCTCCTAACGGTAGGGATGTCTCAATAGCCATAACTGGCATTCATAAGAGTGAATTCTCAATGTGTAAGCATGATTCCTTGTGACACAAGAGATGGTAATTGGCAGTGCACCACGGACAACCTTACAGCAGCACCCATTAGTGCTTACCGCTGTACTTCAGGCGGTTCAACTTCCTGACACTGTTGGCGCTGGAAGGAAGCGACCCGCGCAAATGAAGTGTATGAGAAACTACTGACTTCTGTAGCTCGTCGCTATACGAGGTACTGTACTGCAAAGGGAGAGTCGGTATTCTATCCGTAATATGATAGCCAACGCCAGATACTGATGGCACCTAGTGCTGTTAATTACCGCTTAATCCTACATTGAGGCTGCTGATTGAGAACAATTTCTTGTTCCCTGGCCATATTTCATAGGGAGTTTTCTCTTTTAAATCTTCTTAACCTGGGGCAACAGTCCTCCGTTCCCTACTGTCCTGTATTCTTCACCGTTGATCCTTTCAACAGTGGCTATCAATGTGAAGTACCTTCCTAATATTCCCACATCCTGTTTCCCGTGGATTTCTCACGGAGGTGCCGCGCGAAAACGTACCTCCTTTTGCGTCCGAGCGCGTCTTCTCCGTCACCCGACTGACCACCAGCTCTCATGTAACATGCCAGCTGACTTTGGAGCCGTTACCTACCCCTCCAAGAGCTTAACTGAGTCGGATCTCTTTTTGAAACGGCAGGAAATCACCCACGATCTCGTCGCTCGCGGACATGCCGCGGAGCTGTATCAGGAACTGGAAACAGGACACACCGTGGAACCCCTATAGGTGCACATGTCCCCTAGCCGACATGTTCGCAGCGTGAAGACTCTCCGTAACCGTCTCCTTCGACAGAGAAACCGAGATTGAATACTCATGATGCGGCGATCCACGATGTGGTCGCCAATATTGATACCACCTCGTCGATTTCCAGCTCGCAAGAGAGCGACAACGACCACGACATCTATGACGAGATGATCATTCCGTCTCACCTCGTTGACGAGGCCGCCGACCCATCTCAGTACTACTCTACTAGCTCGCCCACCAGCTTTGAACAAATATTTGCCCGGGAGCGCCGTGGGCACCCCAGGCAACAGGGGACACGATGGGATTGAGTGTTGTCCGAGCCTGTTGAAGAAAGTGGCCGGGACTCAAGGTGGCGTCAACCTGCACGAATGGACCCTCGCGCACTAGGGCTGTCCCCTAGGTGAGCTATGGAACTTGGAGCAGCTCGCCGTCGTGTGTAACGGTGCGAAGAAATGGACCTTCTTCTTCACCAGTGCCCCGCTGTACGTGGTCGGAGGCGTGCCGTCGCCGCCTAACGCCATTGCAGTGCTGTAGCCTACATATATACATAGATACACATTACGTACGACGCGAATTGTGCGCTCTCCCTTACCTATATTCGTCCAGGGACAAAGGCTGCCTGGTGCCCGTTATCCACTTCGGGCTGGTGAGGCTTACAACTAGAAATCTCCTTCGGGTTTCGACTATACTTGCCATGTTGCCTAGCCTCAGGTCATCATTGCCCTGAGGTAGTTAAACTTCTTTCAGGAGAAAAGCCTTGTGCACGTCTGCCTTTACCACCCCCTCTTTTGCTCCGATGACTGACTTGAGGTCTGGTTGCTGGCGGCTGGCTCTAGATCTGGAAGCCTTAACCTCAGTGTCATTTAGCCCTTGTAGCCCTTCTTTCTCGTTTCACCTCAAAACCTCCCGTCCGAGAAAAAGACAAAATGGGAATGCCATGGAAGTCTCAACGTCCCGTCTTCATTGGCTTCGTCAACTGGTTATTGTGGTAGTATGTTCCCACATCTCGATGGTTGAAGCAGTTGCCGTGGTTTCGAGAGGATGCGGCCGGGTAAACGTGCTCGGGTTGATGGATTGTCACGTCCTTTCGCCCACAAGAATATCTTTGATCCAAAGGTACGTCCAATCTGAAGCAAGGTATATATTCGTTCGGTGTCTTTGTACAGTCCCGATAGTTGACTGGATGTGGGTGGACAATCCTGCAGCCGCAATATCGGTTACTGGACATCGCGGGGGGAAGGAGTAACAGCGAAGGGTATGAGCCCTTGTTTCTGAAGTTCAATGGACATGCATGAAATATGGGGAGGTAACCAGCGCAAATTTCAAAGGGAGTGAGGGGGGATATCTTTTCGAAGGAAAGAAATGCCATCCTTTTGTATCCAGGGCCTTTCCGCACCCCCCCTTCCATTATTTCTTCCTCGAATCAATTACTGACAACTCACATCCAGGTCAGTCAGGCAGTCCGTCACTCCACGTTCCAGCTTCAAACTCGCGTGTCACGACCGCCACCTTTTGTGTCACCCCGGGCAGCACGACCACGACTCTCAGTTTCGCTTACTATTTGAGGTTTGTCAGAGTGAAGGCTTGCTTCATTGACCCTGAAGGCCTGAGAGTCTGACCCACGAGTCTATATACAGTCATATTACAAGGGGCTGTGAAATCCCCATGCATGAGACAAAAATATAGTCACGTGAGTCAGGGGTATTGTCTCAGCATAATCCAACCTCCTTCTCCCTTAAACCATCAACTCATCTAACCTGAGATGAAGTGTTCTATTTCCCCGTCTAAAGCTGCTTGACACCAATTTGTCTTCACTCTTTTTCGTGTCCAAGTCGCCCCGCAGGAGTCTGTCCTTCAGTTACATTACTTGGTCAAACCGAAGGGGGCAACCCAATATTGCCTCAATCTCGGCGATGGAGTCAGTTCCAGTCGCTGAATTCGTTCATCTAGATGGTACCACAGTGACGGACAGAGTTATAGGGATTGGAGGCACCAACATTGTTATACAGCGAGGGAAATACGCCGTCAAAATTCCGCGTCTGTCGAGAATCACGCTGATTGGAGACATCACCCCTTCGATAGATCAGAGCAGGACCCCCCAAGAAGGCGACTACGACTACCATGCCGACCTGATTCGAGCCCTGAACACCGAAAAGGACATCTACCGGAGAATTGGCCCGCATGTCGGGGTTACTCCCTGCTACAATGTCTCGTCGACACACCCCTCGGTTCGAATGCCACTGATGGAACAGGACCTTCAACACTATCTGGCGGACAACAGACCGAACCGAAAACGGCAGCTGGGATGGTTGAGACGTCTGGCGGACACACTCGCCCACATCCACTCTCGCCGCGTGATCGTGGCCGATGTTCGTCCTACCAACATCGTTCTTGACAGCGACTCGAACGTGAAATTCGTCGACTTTTCAGAGTCTACTCTAATGCCGCTCGACTGGGATCTTGAGGGCACCGATGCGCTTGGATATTCGATTCTGAGCGATATTGGACAGCTTGGCGCGGTCATGTTTCAGATCGTGACGGGCCAAACTTGTAGATTTCACCTGGAAGATGCCAACGGTGACGTGGCTTGGCCGCCACGGGATAGCCTCCCATCAACAGACAATGTCTGGCTTGGGACCGCCATCGAAAAATGCTGGACTCAAGGGTTCAGATCTGCAGGAGATCTTGCCCGTTACCTGAAGCATGTGAACGAAGACGATTCAAATGAAACAGACCCGACATTCGACCAGTGCGCGGCCGTGGAGAAGAAGCCTGTCTTTTAGAACTAGAAGCTACTGGATAAAGCCAGTATGTATGGGCTGCTTTGGTGTTCACACAACGCTGAGGGGGGTTGAGCACGACATTTCGCCCTTCGACTGACGGGGGACCACCTATCAACCAAGAGCCTACGGTAAACGCGCAGAGCGCAAGAGCCCAAGTTACGTTGGCCCGTCCTATGGTGAACTGAGGTTGTACCACTGTACCATTTCATTCCTCCAGGTAGAAAAACCACTTTCGGTAGTGAGGAATCGGAAAGGACTCTGACAAAACAGACACCAAACGCACCATACAAGGGGGCTGCGGTCAGAATCTCCTTTGCTGCGAGAACAAGTCCTAGAAGAGGGGGGATGATTCTCCTTTCTCCATATGTAACTTGTTCTGTGGGCTCGAGCTTTACATTATCAAGGTTCATCAGGAACCCCACCTTTAGATTCTCCTGACATCCCGTTTGCCTCTATACTAGCAAGTTATGAGGCGCGGACAACGAGCTCCCCACCCGGACGAACATCTCCGTCAAGAAGCCGGTTAGCCA